CTGAGGATTCCCTACCTCAGAGCTAGGTCCTATTTCCTAATGTGCTCTATAGATGAGGAAAGCAAAGCCCCAGCTCACACCGCTGGTAAGTGGCAGAGCTTGGGCTGTGAACCCCTGGAGTCTGCCTTCAGAGCCAGCTTCCTTTGCCCTGCCCTGTGCAACAGGGGCCTGCGCACAGCCGTTCCTTCCCCTCTAGACCTTCTTCCTCTCCCCAGCCAGAGAGGGGCAATGGGGAGGGCTGGGAAGAAAACAGGGCCACAGGGGAGATGCAAAGTATCTGCCTCTTGACTCCTCTGCCTCAAGGGAGACAGGATTCTGGCTGCTGGAGAGGTCCCTTGGGGCTGGGAAACACGGACAGGGCATCAGTGGGACCCAGAGCACAGCACTGTGACTGAGCGATGTACAAAGTGTTTGCGGGAGGCTTCCCTAAGGAGGCGAAGCCTTGCTGGTGGGGGAAGAGTTTGCCAGTCAGAATGGGAAGGGCTTCCAGAGGGACCAGCATGTGCAAAGGCAGAGAGATTGGAGAGAGCATGTGGTGTTCAGGGACTTGGGAGTAGTTTGAGGTGTCCCTGGCACCCCCCTTCTGTGCAGGAGCCGGAGAGGTGGGAAGCAGACGGAAGGCTGGGGTGAATTCTGAGGATCTGTGAATGCCACACTAAGCAACTGGTACTTTATTCTAGGGGTATAGGGTTTTCAAGCAGGGGAGAATTTTTGAGCTGGGTAGGTCTGTGTTCTAGAAAGATCTTTTTGGGGCAGGATCCAGGGTGAACTGTAGGATGGAATCTGAGGAGGGAGAGAGCCCAAAGGCAGTGGAGTGGGGTGTGGCAGGAGGGAGGTCTGCTGAGCACAGAGTCTGCGTGGCCGTCCACTCCCAGCCTTGCCGGCCCGGATCAGGGTGCACCGCTAGGCCGGGGCGGCTCCACCGCGCACCGTTTCCCGAATGGATGCACCATCTTGGCCCTGGTGCCTGGGAACATTTTTACAAAGCAAAAAACAAAGGGAAAAGCAACTTCCAGTTCCTGCATCAACATGCGATGCGCTTGGAAGTCATTATTCCCATCTTCACAACGAGAGAGAGCCACCACACACCTGGCCTCCGGTTTTAGAGGCACCCAGAGCAATCTCCATAATGAGCCTGCTCTCCAGGAAAGGAGACAGGCAGAGCCAGCTCACCTGGGTTAATCAGCCAACTCTAGCCCCCTCTAACCTTCATAACTCACCTGGGGGTGGGGGGTAAAGCTAAGATACCTGTGAAGCTCAGAGCCCAGGGACAGAGATCCACTAAAAGAATCATAAAATTAGAAAATGCTTCCCCTTCTCTAACCCTTGCTACCGCATCAGCAGGGCTCCAATATCACTGGTGGGTTACAGCTGGAAGAGCTTCTAGGCACAGACTATATTTAAGAGGTTCTTGGGGAAACCCAAAGACAACAGAGGAGAAAAAACCAAGGACAGTAGAGGAATTTAAAGCCTCTGGCACTTAAATTTACAGTAAACATTAAAACTAAACCCAACTCCTAATCAGGTTAACATAAATCTTACATTAAGGGTCTATTTATATCAGATTTACCCAATAAACCGAATATTGCAAGGCATGCTAAACAGCAGGAAAACACACAGGCTGCAGAGACAAGGCGAGCATTAGAATCAAGCTCAGACATGACTAGGTCCAGATAGGACAGATTTTGGAACTATCAGACAAAATTTAAAATGACTATCACATATGCTAAGGGCTCTAATGGAAAAAGGACAGGTAGGTAATGTAAGCAGAGAAGTGGAAACTCAAAGGAGATGCTAGAAATAAAACACACTGTGGCAGAGATGAAGAATACCTTTGACGGCCTCACCAGTAGACTGGACACAGAGGAGGACAGAATCAGCTTAAAGAGACGTTAATAGGAACTCCCACACTGAAATGCAAAGAGCAAACATAGCAAAGCAATCTGCAAGAACTATGGGATGATTTCAAAAGGTGGAATATATGCACAGTTGAAATACCACAGGAGAAGAAAGAGAAAACAGAGCAGAAGAAACATTTGAAGTAATAATGGCTGAGAATTTTCTAAAATTCATGACGGACACCAAATCATAAATCCAGAGAATACCGAGTAGCATAAATACAAAAACAAAAAAAACAAAAAAGCAAACACCTAGACATCATATTCAAACTCTAGAAAACCAAAGGCAAAGACAAAATCTTGAAAGAAGCCATAGGAAAAAAACCAGAAACGTAGCTTACTTATAGAGGAAACGAATAAGAACTATAGCCTGCTGCTTGTCAGACACCACACAAGCAAGGAAAAAGA